CCAGTATTTATGACATCTACTGATTAAATCCTCTTGCTCGTGAAGGTTTTGATGGAAATAAATAAATGGTAAAGTGTTTGTAAAGCAGATATTTGGTCCCGGGCGCCGGCGAGCGAGCCACGGCCGCGGCGGGAGGCGCCATCCCGGGGCCGCAGGGCAGCCGCGGCGCGCCTCGCCCTCCGCGGGGCTCGCAGCCGCCTTCCCCGCCGACCCGGCCGCATCCTTCCCGCGGCGGGGACAGAAGCTCCCCGCTCCGCGGAGCAGAGACTCCTCTTTTTTCCTTCTCGGGAGGGTGTCGCCACCTGGATTGCCAAGTGTTAGGGGGTCCGGGAGGCGGGGACCGGAGCACCGTGACCCACCATGGCTCAGGCGGCCAAACAGCTGAAGAAAATCAAAGACATCGAGGCGCAGGCCCTCCAGGAGCAGAAGGAGAAGGAGGAATCCAACAGGAAGCGGAGGAACCGCTCCCGTGATCGCAAGAAGAAGGTAAGAGGGTGGCGGCGGCAACAGACCAGCGGCAGAGGCGCCCTGGAGGTGGCTGCCGGGGGAAGAGGCTCCGCAGACCCAGGCGCGACATGGGGGCCCGGGCGCCCGCGGAGTTGCTGCCGCCCGAGAGTGGAGGGCGCGGGGCAGAAGGAGAGGAGGGAAGGGGAAGAGGACAGGGCAGGAGGCTGGAAGGGCAGAGCGGGCGCCCGGGAGGCGGAGGGCTCGCGGAAACGAGACCGTCTGCCGCCCGCGGGGACCTTTCAGCACCTTGGACAGACGCCGGCAGGCCCGCGCGGATCCGGGAGGAACTTTTCCGGCTTCCCGGCGGCAGGCGGGTGGTGGGCCGCTCCGCTCCGCTCCGCCTCGCCGCCTCTCTTGCTTTCCAAGGAAGCACCGGGCTCCCGAGGCTGCTTTGCCCGGCGCCTCCCCCCGGTGACCCACTCTTTGGCGCGGAGAGCATCGCTCCCAGGTCTCTGAAGGAATGGGGCTCCTGCCCTTCCCTATTCCTTCTCGAGCCCAGGAAGCTTCTTTTCTAACCCTCTGAGTCGGCAGCAGAGAGGCATGACCCCGGGGCATTTGGCAACGTTTTTGTTTTTTTTTCCGGTCACTCAAGATGAGCGACTGATGGCCAAGGGGAAGTTCCTTTGGAAGCCAGACACGGGTGCTGTCCAGCCAGGCCTAAGGGCCTGGTCAGAGAGAACAGGTCTGCTTTTTCGTGGAAGAGCGTGGGCACAAGCTATTCCCTTGACAATGACCCAGACACTTCAGGGCAAATGTTGGTATGTTTAGCGCTTCCCTTTTGGGTCTGGGTTTTCCTACCCTTGACTCAAAGCACCTATAATGAGAGACACCTTTGATTGTGGCAGAAGGGGACAGTTAACTGAGCAAAGCGCTCCAGCCAAGAGGTGTTTTAGAACATCCCCTTCCCCCGCCCCCACCATGAAGGAGGCCAGGAGTACGAGGGTGCAGTTTTGGGACTTGAAGATAGGGAAAGCTTCAGGAAAGCCATTTTAACCTGAAGACGTCTATGTGGAGCATGGCCTGCGAGCCTCCTTGCCAGGGAATGGGGCCCCTCGGTTCCAGGGCAGAGGCATTGGTCTTAGTTGAGAAGGAAACAATTTTTTCCTGAAATTTTCTCACTCTGAGAAAGAAGTCTGGAGCCTGTGGTTGACAGCAGAGTGTGGGGAAACAGGCTGCCTGTGGGTCCCACTCCACTTACCAGTGGGTCAGGAGGACCAACATCGAGCCTTTTCCTAAAGATGACACACAGGGACAGAGATGTTCTCTGATTGTAACCGAAGTAACCAATGCGCTAAGCTTTCCTGTACCCCTTCAAAAGACAGCTTCTCTTCTTCCCTCAAGGGATTGCCATCTCATGTGTAAATAGTAGTTTCACAAAAGCACCACCCCTCTAGCAGGACCAAAAAAGAGGCCTTCCCCAAACCGATGGTGAATCAGAGTTTGGGTTGGTGCCACTGAGAGAGAATCTCATCAAGTCCTGCCGGGGTCTGAAATACCAGAGCCCATCCTGTGAGTCAGGCAGGGGAACGTCTGGTTATATCTGATGGTGTTCACCCACTTTCTTGGCATGAATGTAAACTTCTTGCTAGGAAGGCGTCCCCTGTATTTCCATTTCTGCCTATTGCTGTAGGAGCCAAGGCAATCCTCTCTCCCAAACTGCTCACTCTATGTTTTTATCCCACTTCTTGCTCTTGAGCGTCTTCCTTGATGCTCCTGATACCATAAATAATTTTTCTGAGCAATAGCCAAAGGAAAACTCTCGCTTCTTCCCTTCTTTGATTTCTTTTCATTCTATGAAACTCTCTTCAATGTAACTCCGAATCCTGACTATATGTAACACGCGCATATAAAAGTGCAATTTCAGTATTCTTTTTACTCCTTTGGTCTTAATGTTTACATTATTAGTCAACTGTATTTCCATTTTCAGGGCTAGATGATAATATATTCCCCTCCCCCTGAGTTGTGTTACGTCGTTTTACTAGCTGGTCACAGCATACTGCGTCAGTAGGCAATCAGAAATCTTCCATACAGATTTTCATTATTTTATGCAGTATCCTAGGTGCTTATGATTGATACAACAGTAATAAGAAAAGCTTAATTCAAAGTGATAGCAATGATGTAAACTCTTAGAGCTGATTCTTTGGGTCAGGGAGGATATGGTATAGGGCGAGGTATGGGGGTCCTTCCTTTGTATTTCATGATTGTGAGTTCTCTTAGACATTGACATGGTGTTGAGAGCCATCTCAGAGAATAGAGTTAAAATTTATAGCAAAATATAAAATCACAAGAAGGTAGAAGGCCCTAAAGAGAAAAGGTGAGGGAGGCACAGAAATGCAGAGAGGATATTTAGAGCAGGCAGAAGAAGCTCATACAGGGCCTGTTTAAGCAGATGGCTGGGGGGCTAAATATAAGGTGAAGTCTGAGACCCATTTTCCACAAATGAAGTCATTTTTTAAGGCAGTATATTAAGATCAAGCAGCTGAAGACTTTCCATTTGGTCACTACAGACTATGGGGATGCTGTGGAACCATCCTTACCTCAGCATGAAGAAAGAACTTCATACATGCAAATGAACAGTTTGTTTCAGTGAATTGGTAACTCATGTGAATGTGTGGCTGAGCCAAGGGCATTCTGAATTTACTAAAAGGAAAGATGTTTGTCCCATGGGTAACCTGCTTCATGGGGATTGACTGAACAGAACTGCATTCCTCCCCGTTTGTAGAAACAATCACGGTTGTAACTTCAATGGTGGTTGCAGTTTTACAGTTGATGATATTGTGTGGGAAGGCGCTTGCTAAGGGGTGCTGTGCAACGGGGGATGGAGGCTGATGTTGTGACGCACTGACTGACACAGATAGCAGCCACCTCGACACGGGGAATTGAGCTAAAACTCTGGAGCTCCAAAAATGCCTGCATTCTTCTGGGGCTTCATTCAGTTTTGTTTGGGTAGCACACGTCCTAGTCTGATGCTTGCTGGTAGAGCTGCAGCTTTTTAAAAAAGAATAACATCCAGTATTTATGACATCTACTGATTAAATCCTCTTGCTCGTGAAGGTTTTGATGGAAATAAATAAATGGTAAAGTGTTTGTAAAGCAGATATTTGCATGAAAACGACAGCTTTCTAGGGCTGAGGGAGCTGTGGGCTTAAGAATGGCGTGCTTTTTGTTTACCCAGAGCTTGAGGATGGAAGAGGACAGGGAGGTTGGGGAGAAAGTGAGGCTGAAGATGAATGGGAGGAAGAGGGGCAGAATTAAAGAAAGGAGCAGAGGATGAAGAGGTGAGGGAGACAGAGCAGGAAGGAAGGCGGCTGGCATCTCAGCCTTACTTTAAGGGGTTACACTAAGCCTGCAATAACTACTCCGGGATAGTGTTTACCGAGCTCTCTCCTTGTCCCTCATTTTGTCCAGCTACTTCATCTTCTGATGTTGATGAAGGAAAAGTTCATGTTCTATTCATAGCTGTATACCCAATACCTAGCTCAGCACCTGACAAACAATGGGCATGCAATAAATAAATGTATATGGAATGAGTGGTTGAATGAGTGGATCCATATATCTGTCTCTGCTTGCCTAGATGTTGTCTTGGTCAAAGGCATGTGTTCGGGTGAACAATACACTCTTTGACTGGCTGTCTTTTGGGGGCATCTGAAGAAAGCCTGATAATTTCTTCTTTTCTAATCATTTACAAAGCCATTGAAATTTGTAGGCAGGCAGTGGAACCATCTAATTTTTTGGTGCAGTGAATTCTACCACTGAGTGTGCAGTTAGTTCCTTGCAGGGTCTCTGCTGCATTAAATGTCAAGTGGTTTTAGCCATTTGGAACAACAGCAGCGTTTGCACAGGGGCCCAAGGAGCCAAGCAGAGGAGGGCGCGGAGAGAAAAAAACAAGCCCAGGGGTGGAAAGTGGCCGTCACCACTTTGCTGTGCAGGCAGCGCCGCTGTCTTTCCAGCCTGTGCAGTGCTCCCAGAAGAGCCCTCAGCCTTCCTCACACAGCTGGACTGGGCCCTGCTCCTGGACTGCAGAGATGTCTTTGGTTGATCCAGTTATTGGAACCACGGGGCTGATTTCGGGGTACCTGCATGAGACTGGAGTGGTCCAGCTGGGGCTTATCATCAGGATGGTCAGTGGACGGTGAGGGTGAGGGAAGGGTGAATAAGAGTGGGGTGAATGGAAGGAAGTTACGCAGGAGGGTCATATGGGCCCATGTCACCCATTTGTAAAGGGCCTTGAAGTTTCACTTCTGCTGTTATCTCCAAATGAGTTTATCCATTTAATCCAAGAGATAACTGACAGGATAGAAAGAGAACGATGTTCATCACATATCTTTAAACCTAGGTCCTGTTGCTAACCACATCACTAGTATATGTTGCAATATGAACTGATATTTGTATATAAAGTCTCTATTTGGCTTTTGAATAGTATAATTGTGCTACATTGCATGTTAATTATTAAACATGTTAATTTATTGCAAACCTTTAAAACGCACCACAACTTTGGTAACCTTACTTTGGCATTTCTTCTTATGTTATCACCTAGGGAGCCTCAAAAAATAGAAGTGGCTCAGTCCCTCTTGAGCTCTGGGAGGTGCTCAGACGTGGGAACTTTTCCAGCCTGTTCTATGTGCACCTTCCAGCCCAGTGCTTCCTTCTCTGCTGCAGAGGCAGTGGTGATGGGGGCTGTTCCTGGGGTGCTCCCATCACCCCCCCCACACACACACACACAGCTATCCGCTGGTCCAGAGGAGCAGGTTCCTGTGGGCAGAGAAGATGTTACACCCTCACTTATGTCCAGGACTATATGGCTCGCACATCGTTTGCTTCCCACAGCCACAGTTCAAAGTAGGTGGGGCAGAACCAAAGCAAGTGACCTCCCTGTGAAGGGGACCTCGAGCCGGCCTCCAGGCCCTCTCTGTTCTCTTGCTCACCCCAGCAAACTGCTGGCTCACCAGTCATGCTTATCTCCTCTCAATATGGCAGTG